CAAATCTACCGAACCGGTTAGAGGAGGTTCCACCAGTGGACCCCAGAAAGCAGGCAACCACACCTACAGAAGAGGTGCCCAAAAAATGTTGAAACCCACCACTGACACACACACACACAGAGAGAGAGACTCACAGAGAGAGAGAGAAAGAGAAAGAAAGGAAGAAAGAAAGAAATAAAAAAAGAAAAAAGGAAAGAAAAAGTGAGAGAGAGATGAAAGAAAAAAAGGAAAAAGGGACAGAGGGACAAAAGGAAGGAAAGAGAGAGAGCGGGGGGAGGAAGGGAACACATGGCCGGCAAGCCACTCCCACCAGGTCACATGGCCGGCAAGCCACTCCCACAAAGGAAGCCCTACCCACAGAGTAGGTTCGAAAAATCTTTGAAACCCACCACTGATTAAATAACTATCAGGATATATTGAAATAAGTAAAGGTTCCCTTCACATATATGCGCTAGTAGTTCTCTACTCTAGGGGGTGGTGCTGATCTCCGTTTCTAAACCAAAGAGCCAGCTCTGTCCAAAGATGTTTCCATGGTGATGTGACCGGCATGACTAAACACCGAGGTGCACAGAATGCTGTTACCTTCCCACCAAAGTGGTCACTGTTTTCCTATTTGCATTTTTACATACTTTCAAACTGCTAGGTTGGCAGAAACTGAGACAAATAATGGGAGCTCACTCTGTTATGCAGCACTAGGGATTTGAACCACCGAACTGCCGTCCTTTCTGATCGACAAGTTTAGCATCTTAGCCACTGAGCCACCGCATCCCCTGACAAAAGTACCTCACTCTATTAGAAATAATTACAGTTCTGGGCAACCATTTCCTTGCAATGCCACCAAGTAAATACCTTACCTGGAAAATTCTGCTGGAAGGCACGAAGATCTACCTTGGGAGGTCTTGGTGGTTTCTTTGGAGGAGGACCAAGCTCTTTGATAGAAGGAAGGAGCTTGATTTTTGGAAGCTTGACATCTTTATCATCAGGACATCTTTCTGTACCAAAGAAGTGAAACAGTCTTAAGATTTGAAGAAAGAGTGGAAAATTCGTATTCATGAAACAACGAATTATTTTCTTCTAGTTCCAGCATCTCTCTTCCCTATTCTGAAAGTTACTGCTGTGACCTTCCACTGCTGCACAATAGAGTGTATTTTAACTTACTGCACCTGTGTATGGTTTGCCAATTGGACAGTGGCAAATAGGACAGCGCTCCAGAGGGTTAACATAATTGCCCAGAGGGTCATTGGTTGCCCTCTCCACTCCTTGGAAGAGCTTTATAGCTCACGATGCCTTAAGAAAGTTCAAAACATTCTTAAAAATCCATCTCAGCCTTTTTTTGAACTATTGCCATCTGGCAGATGGTACAGGACAATAAAAACAAGGACAAATAGGCTGAAAAACAGCTCCTATCCCAGAGAAGTAACTATATTGAATTCTACTATATAGTGCAATATTAATGAAGTATCAGGGGTTTTTAATTCAATTGTTTAGAATATAAAGTATATGTGTTTTTGTTTTATTTTTTATGTATAATGTACACTGAACATGGTACTTAATTTCATTATATGAGGTGCAACAACAATAAACTAAACTAAAGTATGTAGGGAAGGTCCATGCCAATATACGCCTGCACTGGCCTTTTGGCTGCAGAACTGGCAGCATCTGTACCAGTAGTGGGATTCAAATTTTTTACTACCGGTTCTGTGGACATGGCTTGATGGGCATGGCAGGGGAAGGTCACTGCAAAATCTCTATTTCCTCCCGATCAGATGGGACGCAGGAAGCAGAAAATAGATGGGGACAGGGCCAGTCAGAGGTGGTATTTACCGGTTCGCCAAACTACTCAAAATTTCCGCTACCGGTTCTCCAGAACTGGTCAGAACTTGCTGAATACCACCTCTGATCTGTACCACAATAATTAACAAGGTATCATTTAATGTCCTCCAAACTCTGGTTCCTAGCATTTTGTAGGGAAGAGGAGAACCACTTATCCAAATGTTACAGCATGAACGGGTAAGTTTTTGATCATAGGAATCATACTTCTTTTTTTCCTCAATTTTTTTTGATGGATGAATTCTGCAATGAGTGAGCAGTGATGCAAAAATATCATTGAAGCAAAGTGGGAGAGGATGGATACTCATGTTTCGGTGGGGGAGGGGTTCTATCACATTTGTTATTTTCCACATTGTATTAAACGATTGGACTCAATTTTTTATTCTTGTACTTGTCTGCCAAAAAAAAAAAACACCTGCTGTTTAATCTGCAGCAAAGTAAGTAATTTTGAATACATTGGACTTAATGGGGAGACCCAGATTTGGGACTCCATTGACACAAGGAGATCCCTAGATGACTTTAGGCCAGTCGTTCCATCTCAATTCAACCTATATTAAATTGTTATGGGATAAAATTAATGAGCTGCTTCCTGGTCTATGTCACTTCTCTGAGAAAATATAAATGTGGTAAACAAATAAAAGTAAGGACCTTGGGGACTGAAAAAAAATGCAGTCTTGCATATTATATATTGAAGAAGGAGAACGGTTCAACCCAAATTATTCAAAGCCTAGAGCAACTTTTCCAACTAAAAATAGACTAAAAATAGGGGGAGAGGATGGTATGGCAGCACTGAAACAACAAAGGCAAAATAGTTGAAGTTTCTTTTAATTTATGAAACTTACATGGCCATTGGATAGATGGGTGGCCATATAAATTTGATTAATAAAATCATTATTTCCTCCCTGTTATTTGCTTAAAATGGACAGCCAAATACATTTCCTAAATAAAATACATTCTATTTTGTCTATGGATGTTGTCATAAATATAATTCAATTAATTGAATGAAATTATAGGCTAGAAAAGCAGGGCATTACTTCTTCACACAACCAAAGGATATTGGACAATTTTGTGTTGGAAACCAAAAGCCATGATAGCTGTGGAGTTACTGATTTTAAGAACCTGTATGCCACCTTATAAAATCAACTCAGTTTCTCAATATTCTTTTGCTGAGGAAAATGAATAAGAGGATGTGATGATGCATCTCTTCAGCATGCAGACTGAAAAGTAAGCAGCTGTTCAGCAGATGGGATGGGTATGATCTTGCAGAACTTGTTTGTGTTATTTTATGACAGCCACACTGTATATCAGATTCATAAAAAATGAAAAAAAAAGAATCCTGTGACTCAGCAGTGAAAAGCCACATAGAAAGGTCAGTTGGGAGAAAACCCTGGAAGCTACATTCAAAATATCATCGTATGAATCACTTGCATTCATTGTAAGTTGGCAAAATTACAGTTTAAGATTAAATTCCCATGAGGCAACTTTTGCGGGGAAAAAATAAAATCAATTAAATATTAATCTTCTTCAGTGTTGGCTTTGGTCCTGGATTTTGTGAAGACTGTCAAAGTCAGAGCTTCCCAATGGTAGGTTTCTCCTCCTCAGTTTGCAAAAAATTCCTTTCAACAGCCACAACAGCATGCTCTGAATGTTTGCCTGGGGAGCCACATATTTTTTCTCTCCCTCTGGTTACTATAAAAGCAAGCACATGGCTTAATATTTATGAAGAACATACGCTGATTAGTAACTAGTTGGGTGCTATCATTTCAAGGCTTTAATCAAACAATAGAGAAATAACACAGTCAGAAAGCCTAATCTTTATCCATCTCCTACAAGTATTAAGCTACAGTCTGGGAAACAAGGCATGGAGTTCGCTGTTGCATTAACTGCCCCGTTGTTAGAGCCTATGTATCAAGATGATTTGATGATATGTTGGAAAAAGCTTTATGATATTTTAGTAATTAGTAATTTAATAAATTTATATGCCACCCAATCCCGTAGGACTCCGGGTGGCTCTCAGATGTTCTCAAAGAGAAGTTAAGCTTGTTAGTGTAAGAATTGTCATTCTAATAAAGAAGGGGAGTACCTTCTATGATGGCTGGTATGATACGGACCTTTATCTACCACAACCCCCTATTATCACCCAAACATTGATATCAGGTCTTATGGGCCAGTAAATTATTACTTTTCTCAAGCCTCCGGGAGGGCAAACTGGCCCTCCAGAGGAGAGAAATGGGCCTGTTTCTGGACTTCCAGATCTTCTGGAATTTCTGGTAGGCCCGTTTTTCGCCCTCCCAGAGCCTTTGCACAAGCCCTATACTTAACTGGCATGATGAACGGGCTGCGTGGAGATTCCTGGGAGGGGAGGCGAAGGGCAGGATGGGCGGGGCCAGCCAGTACTTGCAACAATCAGTTCAGTGAACCAGATACAAAATTAGCATCTGGTTCTCCCAAATCAGTCCGAACCGGCTGAATCCCACCCCTGCTTACAACCTGAAAAAACAGTTATCACCAATGGATATATGATACTTCTAAGGCTAGGAAGCAGCTGTAAACTAATCACTTTTTGTCTGTGCTCTGGCTATAATTGTCCTTAGACCTCTGAAGCAAATATAATTGGCTTAATATCAGAAAAGGAAAAAAAATATTAAATATATTTACCATTTGAGACCTTGCTTAGACTGTTCGAATTGTTCAAACTATTTGGAGACAAACCAGCAATGACTCTACTTAAGCTTGTCTGACTTCTTGGAGGAACTGGAGGTGAAGTTGTAGGAACAAATTCATTCTGTACGTGGGATGGAGGCTTACACACATCAAGGATCATCCCTTGCTTAAGTCCAGCTATTTTTGCTTTGTCCTCTGTTGAAACATTAGAAACTTGTGGATGAGAAAGAGAAGTTGTCCTGATTGTACACTGTGGTGGTATTGCACCACATTTCTGGTCCCCTTGTGCACTTTCCCAAATGTGCAGTGTGTTGCGAAAAGAATTGCTTGCTCCTTCAGGTCCTTGAGGAGAAAGGCAAGATCTTGGATGTGGTTTCTGCGATTCATCCCCCAATAAAGGTGGCTTGCAAATGGCCCCAGAGAGGTTTGGGTCCTTCCTATCTTTGAGCCTGGCCTTTGGGAATACCATAGGCTTGACTTGCCTGCTTTCCAATTTCTGTGACGTGTAACTGAACTGCTTGGTTTGCTGTTCAGGATCTGGAACCTGCCTTTGGTGCAAGCGTGTTGGTGTGGGTTGAGGCGCAGCTGAGCCACCTGTATTTTGCCGTGGATTGAATTTAGCAGGAGGCTTCTTTGCAGATTCCATGAGCATATTGGAAAAATTGGAATCATTTTGAAACATTGCTCGAAGACTGCCAAAATCTCTGGGCTTTTCCTAAAATAGACAAAAAAAATAAAAATAAAGAGAAAAGGTAATTGTCAGTTGCAGCGCTACCAGTGAATTAGTGCCTGGTGAAAATGTAACTCTGTTACTCGGGCTAGAACTAAATTAAAATCTTTCCAGGCCTCCTCTGAATATCCATTGTATCACTGTAATAGTTTAATCATTAGCATACTGGAGCTAATACTAATATAAATAACAAAAGCTGAATAGAAGCACAACAAGGGAAGACTGAAATCCTTGTAGTGAGGAAATTATGTCCAACTACCTATTATTAGTAAGAAGAGATTTTTTCACTGGATTACTTCAAAAGTAGTTAATCTGGTAGCCCCCAGAACTCCTGGACTGTATTTCTTACTTTCCATTAGCCATTCTCATTAGATTTAATCTGGAAAGTTCCTGATAATCTGCCCATGGAGAACTGTAAATCAAATCTATCTTAATGACAACTGCTCTTGCTTTTCTCTCTAATTCTTGCCATTAATTGGCTGGAAACTATACACACGTAAAATAACAAAGAGCCAAGGTGGCGCAGTGGTTAAATGCAGCACTGCAGGCTACTGCTAGATCAGCAGGTCAGCGGTTCAAATCTCACCGGCTCAGGGTTGACTCAGCCTTCCATCCTTCCGAGGTGGGTAAAATGAGGACCCAGATTGTTGGGGGCAATATGCTGACTCTCTGTAAACCGCTTAGAGAGGCCTGAAAGGCCTATGAAGCGGTATATAAGTCTACTGCTATTGCTATTGCTAAAAGCACTTTTTACAATCATAACTTTTGGGCCCATAAATCAACTCTCACAAATCATGGCTCAGAGCCTCGCTGTAACCATTTATTTCTTCCTATTTTAAAAAGGTTCTCTGGATATGCTTAGAACTGTGATAGTGAACCTATGGCATGCGTGCCACAGGTGGCATGTGGAGCCATTTGTTAGGGCACCTGAGGCATTGCTCTGTCAACTCCAGTGCACATGCACGCCCTGGCCAGTTGACTTTGGCCTTCTATTAAGGCCATTTTTCGCCCTTCGAAGGCTTCCTTAAAGTTTCTGGAGCGTGAAAAACCGCCCCTATGGGCAAACCGGAAATTCGGGGACGGACTTCAAGTTTGTTCGTAGGGCTGTTTTTCACCCTCCAGAACCTTCAGGAAGCTTCCATGAAAACTCCGGAGGGTGAAAAACGGTCCTACGGCCAAACTGGAAGTCACCATTCCCGAACTTCTGGGTTGCCTGTAGGGCTGTTTTTTGTCTTCCAGAGGATTCAGGGAAGTTCCTGAAGCCTCTGGAGGGCTTCTGGGAGGGTGGGAGAAGCTGTTTTCGCCCTCCCCAGAAAGCCTCTGGAGCCTGGGAAAGGCAAAAAAAAAAAAGCCTGCAAAAAGCAAGTGGGGTTTGTGTGCGCATGCGCACTGGGGTCGGCGCATATTATTATGGGTGTGGGCACATCCATGCATGACCCCTCTGTGCACCCCCAGCTTTTGGCACGCAATCCAAAAAAGGTTAGCCATCACTGTGCTAGAGCAACTTTTCCCTGAACGGACGACGACAAATTCTGGGTATTACACACCTTGGAAATTTGGGAGCTGCCACAATGAGCAAGAGGGTGGTACTAGTTTGAACCACCTGATAAACCTAACAGCCTCACTTAGCACGAGAAACATGTATGTTAGCTGGTTTTATCCTGAAATAGATCAGAGATTAGAAAATCCGGGGGAAACAGACAACCCTAGACAGAAGTTCCATTATGCTGAAAAGAGACCTGCTGATGTCTTTAATGAGAAAGCAACACAATTGAGTCTTGTCCTGAGATGTTATTGAATTTTGTATAATTGCATCCAACTTATTAAATACCAAATGGTCTCCTCTGAATAACCTCTCGTAGTCATTGCCAGTGTTTCCACATTAAACAGTGTGATGTAAAGCATCCAAGGGATACTTCAGTTGTTCTGATTGTGCTAGAGCAGCCAGCTGCACGATGCAACCAGGCATGCCAAAGACTCTAGTTGAAACTGGAATCTATCTGCAATTAACACTGCCATACAAGAAAGACAAATGAAACCCACTGATCTTCATCTAAAACACCACGCAGTGTTATGGCTATAACCAATGACAGCGAAGATTAAATAAACAGCATTGTGTCTGCAGCATGGGCACAATATCTGCATGCTTTTCAAGGAACAAAAACAGCCCAAACACACAGCCCTGTTTATGGTTCTTTATTGAAAACCAGGTGCTCCTCTATTTCTGAATTCTCTTAGATGGTACTAAGAGATGGCCCAATGAAAACAGAAGCCTTTGCCAGGTCACAACACTGCAACAAGGCATCCCAGAAGGACTGTAATCCTGAAAAGAATTATGGTATTATGAGTTAAAACACAGCTGAAACAATAGATCTGGATCCAGAAGAGATGCCTCTGCTTCTAAAGAGCACCACAGGTGCCACGGCATGTCCATGAAGCATAGCACAGTATGCTGGAATTTGAAAATAGCTCTGACAAAACCAGAGATTCTGCAGTGGCACAATATACACACAACAGATCATTCTCTATACTCCCATCAGAACTGGGGGAATGTACAAATCCTTCTTTTTTCCTTCTTACAATCTACCATATTTTTTGGATTATAAGATGCACCTTTTTCCCCCTTAAAAGAGCCCCACCCTTGCATCCCATTTTTATGAAAAACGGGCTGTTTTTCAGCAAAACGGGTGTTTTTGCCTTCCACCACCCCCAGAAGCACTCTGCAGACTTCAGCAGGGCTGGGGGAAGGGAAAATGCCCCCTTTTTGGTAAAAAAAATGGGATCATTTTTGCCTTCCCCCAGCCCTGCTGAAGCCTGCAGAGTGCTCCTGGGGGCCAGGGAAGACAAAAACTTTCCCCCCTACTTTCCTCTTCAAAATCTTGGTGCGTCTTATACACCGGTGCGTCTTATAGAACGAAAATTATGGTACTTTCTGATAGTTTCTTTTTAACAAATCTGATTCATTTCCTATCTTAATTATTTTTACAGATAACTCAAAGTGGAAAACATATCCAACACAACACCCACTTCCTATTTGTCCCACAACTACAGTACTGTGGGGTGTGTTGGGCTGGAGAGAGAGGGACTGGCCCAAAGCCACCCAACTGCCTTTCGGGTCTAAGATGGGATTTGAACTCACAATCTCACGCTTTCTAGCCTGATACCTTAACTACTTGTTAGGGCATGTTGTTAAACCTTAATTTTTAGAGGCGGGATACCCTAATGCAAGATTCTGGGGGGAAAGCTCCCTTCTTTCCTACTCCAAATCAAGTTTGATAAGGCCTAACAGTTCTTCACTTATCACCTTTCTAACTAAGAGAGAAAAAGAGAGAAATTCACAATGGGGGAGAAAGAGAGAAAGGGGGGGGAATCTCTATTACTAATTAGAAATCCTTTGCATATGCAAACACCTCTGAAATAAATTTCCTTGAGTTCAATATTAATGTAACACTTTACTAAACAAACAGGAATTCTACAGGAATTCCTGTAGAATATAATGCACTTAGAATTTTTTAAGTTATATCAGTCCAATAGATGACCAATATTTATGACTAACTCAAAGCTATAAACTGTACTTTACAAGCTACTATAGTTGCGTCAGATCAGATAAGCCACATTATGCATCAGTACAACCACATGATATGTTCTGTAACTACTATGAGTTGGTACAAATATATTACTGAACTCTAGAGATACATGTGTCACTTTTGTTCTACAACAGGGCTGTCAAACTCCCAGCCTGTCAATGAACATTAGGGTAGGAAGAGTGTGAATTATCATGTAATAGTAAGAGTTGGAAGGGACCTTGGAGGTCTTCTAGCTCAACTCATCACTCAAGCAAGAGATCCTATATACCATTCTGGACAAATGACTATCCAATCTCTTCTTAAAATCCTCCAGTGAATGGAGCACCCACAACCTCTGGAAGCAAATTGCTGATTATTTGTTCTCACTGTCAGGAAATTTTTCCTTAGTTCTAGGTTGCGTCTTCCTTTGGTAAATTTCCAACTGTTATTTCTTGTCCTGCCTTTAGGTGCTCTTAGGTTGTTCCTCTCTTCTCTGTAGCAGCCCTTCAGTGCAGAAAATCAGATCTTTTTGTCTAAGAGATTTGGGGGGAGAGTAAGGATCAAGATTACAATAATAGAACAATACCACCCAAAGGATTGTGAGGGGACTCACTTACAGTTGCACTTCAAGAATCTAGAATTTATTTTGTAAATCGAAAGGGGAACAAGCTTGGAGAATCATTTATTTCCAGGTACTAAATACTCTAAATCTTAGAAGGCACATGTTGCCACATGCATCAGGGACTACAACTAGACTGACACACACTGCACCCAGGAAGTATCTACTCATGCAGGTTTTCCCCACTAATCCAACAGGTTCTCAAAAAAGCAAAGAAGGGGGGAAAGCAAAAGAAGCCATTATTCAGGTAGTTTCACGATTAAAAATAAACTGTACAATATCAAGTGTATATGCAGACCATCTCAGGGGTCTTAGATCACTAGTACAATCTAGTGTCTCAGAAGCAGCTCCATTCTTCAGTGGATCTTACTTTGTGTACTTTAGAACAACAACAACAATAATAATAAACTATAGGCCAATCACCTGTTTGCCAACAACATATAAGCTCCTTACTGGACTGGTATCATCGCAAACCAAATTTATGGATACTTGGAAAGAAATAACTTGCTTCCTTTTTGCAGAAAGGATGCTGCAAAAATTCAAGAGGAACAAAGGACCAACTGTTGATTGACAAGCTAATCCTAAAGAATTCAAAGAAAAGACGAACCAACCTGTTCATGGCTTGGACAGACTATAAGAAAGCATTTGATTCAGTTCCCCATAGCTGGATTAAGAAATGCCTGAAAATCTTTGGCATCAGCAGCAACATACAAAAATCCATAGAAAC